TCATAGAACTTTATCATGCAAACTTTTTCAGTCAGCATAAATAATAAGTCATAAGTTATATAACCTCTAATTCATATCAATTTGAGAATTTCCCGTCAGACAAACATTGCCAAGCTATCCCCAGCGTTCGGCAGTTTAGAAGATTTGCATCATGTAACGATTGTATCGCCTGTAACCGCCATTTTGCTGTCCGCTTTTTCCTCCATGACTTCCTCCTCCTTGACCTCCCTACAAGAGATAGGATAAATTCAGAAGGCTACAAAAGGTCACAAAATCTGAATCAAAATAATTGCAACCTCGTTGCTTGGTGGTGCAGAACCGCCTCCACCACCTCCTCCTGTTGGTGTAAGAACAACCCCGAACTCTGCGTTTTCATCTGCTGGCGCTCCCCCACCAGCTGCTCCTCCTCCTCCTCCTCCTCCTCCCTGGAAGTAGTATAGAATATATAGCAATGGATCATGTGTAACAGCTTACCATAGGGCTGCTCTGTAGCTGTGGACCCCCTAGGAATAGAGGACTTGACTGCGCTTGCAGTGGGACAGTGAATGGATTGTATCCACTTCCTGGAGCAGCAGGAGCAGCGGGAGCTGCACCGCCACCTGAAGCACCAACGTCGGAAGGTGCACCTCCTCCAGATCCGCCCTAAACAAATTGAGTCCAGCTGAAGGGTTACGTATCCATATCAGGCTTAGACGGTATCCCGTGCTTACCTGATTATCATGTCCGCCACTGCCCCCCGCATTATTGCTGGTATAGTCGACGGGTTGATTCCTAGGAGAACTGTTTGCCATACTTTGAACAGCGGAAGGATTATTGTTGCCATAACCCGAGTACTGAGTGTCGTAGTCGGCAAATGCGCTGCCTACTACGAGAAGTAGCAATATGATCTGCATACCTATAAAGCTGAGTTGCAAGACAAGAATTGTCAATCAATCAATCGAAAAATTTGAGAGTTAGCGATGGTTTACGTAAGGTTGATATGATACTGCAGTCTGACCCGCCTCTTTACTGTAAAAAGCAATGCAGAGCGCATTCATCGCTGCGTTTCGGTTTTTCGAAAAGAGTGTGACCCTCAATGTCAAAATATCC